TGCTACCTCTCTTTTTGGTGTGAAATCCTAGAAGAAGTTAATCAGACACAAAAGTATATCCAAACATCTGGACTATCGCTGGAAAAGTGTGTTATAAAAATTAAAGCCCTAAAAATTTTTCTTCAAACTCAACGTATACAAATAGTGGACAGAGCTATTTCCTACGCAACTGAGAAATGTGAGGACTTGGATATCTCCGTTGAAAGAAGAGGAAGGAGGAGATTCCGAAAACGAATGCCAGGAGAAATGTCCCAAGATGTTGGACTAACATTGCCAGAAGAGTTGCATAGAGCTATGTTAGAATGTCTTGATAGATTTTACGAAGAACTAGAGCATCGCTACAAAGCAATGGATGATATTCTCATAACATTTGGTGTTGTTCAGTCTGAAACTCTACTTACGTCAACAGAAGAAGAACTTCGTGATAAAGTTCCAAATCTTACAAAAATCTATGATGAATTTTCTGCAGAGGACATTATTTTGGAGATTTTACGACTGAGGCGCCACTTGGAAGCTGCCAGCATTTCTCTTCAAGAAGCGATCCAATGGACTACCTTGGAGCTTCTGAAATTTATTGTAAAATGGGACTATTCTGAGTCTGTTCCAAGTCTAGCTCTATGTCTAAGATTTTTTTTAACTATTTGTGTTTCGGTGGCTACTTGTGAAAGAAGTTTCTCAAAATTAAAGTTAATAAAATCTTATTTAAGATCTACAATGAGCCAAACACGACTTTCCAGTCTATCCATTTTGGCCATTGAAAAGGAGAGGAAAGTAAATTTTGATAATGTCATTGAGTATTTTAGCAAAATAAAGTCACGTAAACACGTTTAATATTTGTCGTTTTATTTTGAGGGTGCTCGATAGAAAGTCGCCCCGGGTGCCAACCTATGCTACGCCGCCACTGTACACTAGAACCAGTATATGAAGGTGATGGACGTCTGAAGCGGAATGGGCATGAAGTATTACGACATCCCCCTATCACTGCGATCTAAATGCCATTGAGTTAATATGGAGTTTGGCTAAATGTAAAGTGGCAAGTAAATATTGGCCTGGCCGCAGCGGATTATAAAAGATTCATTTTAAAGCATAACTTCGAAGAAGTGGAAGAAAATGACTGATCGTGTCATACATGTTGATAATAAATATGTATTATAAAGAAAGGGACAGAATTACAGAAAACAACTAAGAAAGTTTCATTATTAATGTTGGAAACAGTGATTGTAGTGACTCTAATGAAACTTTTCAAATAAAGGTTTTAGATTCAGGTCTTGATTTTTTGAAAAGTATTGTTTTTTTATTGTTTTTAAAAGCTACTAATTAAAAAAATTTAAAAACACTGAAGACCAGAAAAAGTGGTAATGCGAGGCCTGCTTTGGCCAAAGAAAATGCCCAGCCAGTCACGACCACAGTCAAGAGTGAACGACCAAACAGAGATGTAGGTTAGGTTAGCTATTGTTGTATTATCTGTAATTATTAATACTAATCATTGTCACACTAGAACTGTCAATGTCATTGTCATCCTTTTACTACAAATAAGGTGGCCGAGAGTGTCGGCCATTGACAACGTAACTCTGGTGCAGTGAGCTGCCCGACTGTGTACTGTGCTATTAAAGTCAAGTATCCAAGATCCAAGTCTTTTAATCATATCACATGGTGTCAGAAGTAAAAGAAAACTGAAGAGAAGAATTTAAGTCGTCTCGTAAGTCGGTCGCAGAAATTGACCAGTCGAGTTCCGAGCCATGCGGCGTGGGCGACCAAGATGGCGACCAAGGTCTTAACAGCAGGATAAAACCGCTATATTGACCGAGAGACTATCTCCGGCCGCCGTAAGCGCAAGTCTGCGGACTGTTGAAATGTTTTGAGTTCCACAATGACAGTTTACAGAGCTTCGAAGGAGTTTAAGATTCCATGGTCGACATTAAAAGTGAAAGTGACGAAGTACAAAACTCTACGAGAGGGCAATAAAGATGCAGAAATCGTAGTATTCAAGATAGGAATGCCGTTTGCGTTATCTATTGAAATAGAACAAAAGTTACTGACCTATATTATTGAGAAGATGCAAGAACGTGGACCGATCGCATTCCAAAACAGGAGTCGCAGATGTGGGCCAAAAGGCGGCAAAATTAAAATGGGACTGCGCCGGACACGTCAGCCGAATGCTTATGGAGAGATGGGCCCATATCACCCAGTGGACACCTCAGGATGGAAGCCGCAGGCGGGGTAGGCCCCGGAAAAGATGACGTGACGATCTAGACGCCTATCGTCGAGACTGGTGGACACGGTCGCGAGATGGGGAGGCCTTTGCCCAACAGTGGGACATTACAGGCTAGTAAAAAAAAAGTGGTTTTCGTCTTACAGTACTAAAGTACCAAATAAAGCGAATAGCATTATCATTGGCTAAAGCTGCGAACATTTGCTGGACATTCAATGAAAAGAGGGATCTGCAGGTTGAAATTGGTGGGTGAAGTATAAAGAACGCTACGGATTGTCTTTGCGGACACCGGAAAATCTTTTAACAGGTAGAGCGATTTGTTCAAACCCTGTTATTTTAGAAGATTTTTATGAAATATAGAAAAACAGTTAAATGAACATGACATTCCACCCGAAAGAATATGGAACTGCGATGAAACTGTTCTGATTTTTGTCAACAAATTGCTACAAGCATTGGAAAAAAAAATAACAACAGAACATATGCAGAAAAGGGTCCGACAACCACATTATTGGCGTTTATGGATGAAAACGCCAAACGCCTCCTGCCGGAGGTTGTATATGGGGATTGTGCGATCCATGGCCCTCTACGGGGCCCCTGTGTGGGCGCCGGACTTGAAGCGGCGGCCGGCTCGTACGCTGGTCGCGTCCCAGAGGGTCATGGCTATACGAATAATCCGCGGATATCGCACGATCTCCGGGGAGGCGGCGAACCTCCTTGCCGGATCACCGCCATGGGATCTGGAAGCGAAGGCGCTCGCGCGCGTCTACAGTTTGCGCGCAGACGCGCGTTGGGAGAAGTTATTTGATGATTTTCCCCTCACAAAAAAAAAGGATGTTATATTCCCCCATTTATTATATTCAAAGGTGTAGGTAATAATCATACTAGATACAGTATCAAATACTGGGCAGTAATTCAGTCTATGCAGAATGCTACAATACATCACCGCTGCACTAACCTAGTGAAAAATATATATCAGAACGCCACCTTAAAAGTAAATCTCGCTCCGGAGACCAAACCAGTGGAAATACAAAGAGGAGTAAGACAGGGGGAGTCTCTCTCTTCGAAACTCTTCACATTGGTACTAGAGGATGTCTTTAAAATGTTACACTGGAGGGCAAGATACTGAATAACCTTAGATTTGCTGACGACAACGTACTGTTCGCAGACAATCCAATTGACCTTAAAACCATGATGCAGGAACTTAGTAATGCCTCGGCACGATGCGGTTTGGAATGAAACCAAGGTCATGACGAACTGTTCAAACACCACCATATCCATCAAAGTAAATGACGCCATTATTGCGAGAGTGGCTAAATATGTGTATCTGGGACAAGTGGTAATGAGAAAAGACAACGAAGCCAACGAAATTGATAGGCGTATAAGATTGGCCTGGGCAGCCAACTACAAACTTGAGTTCGCCTTCCGTATGAACATAACTGCTAAACGGAAGGCGCGCATATATGACCAGTGTATCTACCGGTGCTCACATACGGTTGGTGTTTATAAAGGACATCCTTCAAAAACTCCAATTAGCCCAAAGAGCAGTAGAAAGGAAGCTGGTAGGCGTTACGCTAAGAGACCGCAAAAGAAACCAGTGGCTAAGACAGTAGAAAGTCAAGGACGTCACATAGCGTATTGCGAAACTTAAGTGGGAGTGGGCTGGTCACGTTGCACGCAAACAGGGTTCGTGGTGCAGAGCGTTCTTATATGTTCAAAACAAATAATATAAAAAAATAAAGCAAATTCTGATTTATAAACAAAGATGACTTTTACGTTCCATTGTACCCCAACTGTTTCTAAGTAAGCTATTTGACTCAAAAATACGACGTCAAAATTTGAAGTTTCATAGAAAAGTATCGTTCTTGACATTTGGATTTGGATAAAAGTATTGAATTAGACTAGTTGGAAACTGCCGTATTCTTGCTATGAAAAACGGATGAAGGATTTAAATTTGTAATGTCCTGAATTTCTTTAATTTTCTTCTTTATAACTTTTAAATGTGGGAGAGCCAAGCTTCGGCACGAATGGGTCGACTCGACCGGAGTAATACCACGGCCTCACAGAATAACGGCGTGAAACAACCCAGCGTTGTGTTTGGCCGTGTGAGTGAGGTTACCGGAGGCCCAATCCCTCCCCTTCCCCTATCCCTTCCCGATCCTTTACGCACTCGTAACTCATTTGGTGTTGTGGGTGCCCATGGGCGGCGCCGATTGCTTACCATCAGGTTATCCGTCAGCTCGTTTGCCGACTTATACCATAAAAAAAAACTTTCACGAGTTCAGAACGAATGAAGGACAAAACCACTCTAATAATAAAATTGTCGTTAAAATTAGATATATACATAGCTTTTTTTAATTAATTCATAATACTAAGTAGCTTCTTTGTTTATAATTAGAATGCTTTTTACACCATCTTAGCCAAAGAAATTACCGCAAATGACCCCCTCTAGAGTAAATTGCTCAAATGACCCCACCTAGAGTAAATTGCTCAAATGACCCCATCTAGAGTAAATTGCTCAAATGACCCCACCTAGAGAAAATTGCTCAAATGACCCCATCTAGATTAAATTGCTCAAATGACCCCATCTAGATTAAATTGCTCAAATGACCCCATCTAGATTAAATTGCTAAAATGACCCCATCTAGAGTAAATTGCTCAAATGACCCCATCTAGAGTAAATTGCTCAAGTGACACATCTAGAGTAAATTGCTCAAATGACCCCATCTAGAGTAAATTGCTCAAATGACCCCATCTAGAGTAAATTGCTCAAATGACCCATCTAGATTATATTGCTCAAATGACCCCATCTGGAGTAAATTGCTCAAGTGACCCCATCTAGAGTAAATTGCTCAAATGACCCCATCTAGAGTAAATTGCTCAAATGACCCCAAAAAACTCAAACGACCCCGATCTCATACAATAAATCTTTCTACTTTGCAAGGTTGTACGTCATCGTCCATGTATTCTACGAGCCGTTTATTGGGTATTACCTTATGTACTCGCTTTCTATGTGTATATAAGGACGCTTTTTGCTTGAACGTTTGCTGGCAAATGTCGCAGGATAGAGGTCGTTCACCCGAGTGAATTACCTCGTGTTGGGTTAGAGCTTTCTTGTCCTGTAATAAAGAAATCAATAACTTCATAAAAAATAAAAAAAACATATGGGTACACCCATATAACATAATATGGGTGGACACAACTTAGTTACACTGTTTTCACATATAGGGGTCATCCTTATAGAACATTACACGTAAAGGGTTTAAAAAACGTTGCTCCACATTAGGATTTTCTCCTGTGTCGTGGGTGCGGTTACAAACATACAATTTCACATACCTACACATGACACCCAGACCCGGAACAACAATTTGTGGGTCACACAAAGAAATGTTCCGTTCGGGAATCGAACCCGCGACACTTTGCGCGGCAGACAGTTGCCCAACCACCGCACCAACCTACTACTTAGACTAGACTACCTACTACTTGGACTAGAAACCGCCCGTTCTTTCTCCTGCTGTGGGCCGAGGACCGCGGTGCCTCCTTGCGCTTACCCCGGAGCCCCGGCACGTACAGGTGGGTGGTCGATAAAATATGGCAAGGGGTGTTGCGGGTGTCCATGGGCGGCGCTGATTGCTTACCATCAGGTTCGCTCGTTCGGCGTCTTAATACATAATCTATATATATATAAGAAAGTCGTGTTAGTTACACCACTTATAACTCAAGAACGGCTGAACCGATTTAGCTGAAAATTGGCAGGGAGGTAGTTTAGAGCCAGGAGAAGGACATAGGATAGGATAGAGTTGGTATAGTTCGTTCCATAATTAGAGACTACAATTTGACAACAGCAAATGTCAAAATACAAAATAATGTGGCCAGATTTTTCATCATAGTGATGGGCCCGAGTACGATCTTTTAAATAAAATACCGATACCGTTTTTTACCCTGAGCAAAATAAAACAATGTTGCGGTGATGTTTTTTATAGTTTATCGAATTAATAATAATAATTTAAAATAAAAATGCGAAATCCAAGACTGGCTAAAAGAAAAACATTATATTTGAGGAACCTATACCGAAAGCCGAGCTGTTGGAGATTTCCCGGAAAGAGAAGAGTAATTATGAATGATACGTTATGGAGTGATGGCTGCTAAAAGGGGGGTCACTATGTAACGGTTGCCTCCTTACCATTGTGATTTTAACCCGACTGAGTTAGTATGGGCACAGGAAGGTACCAGGGAAAGTAGCTAAAAATAATAAAGCTTTTAAAATGCACGAAGTCCAGAATTTAATTTCGGTATTTCGGTCAATATCGGTCGCGGGACTTCACTATTTATGAAATGGAAAAAACATGCAACACTCGAAATGTCAAATCGTTGTCTCTAATTATGGAACGAACTGTAGAGAAGGTTAGGTAGAGTGGGGTAGGTAGAGTGGGGTAGGTAGAGTAGGGTAGGTAGAGTAGGTTAGGTAGAGTAGGTAGAGTAGGGTAGGTAGTGTAGGGTACATAGAGGAGGGTAGGTAGAGTAGGGTAGGTAGAGTAGGGTAGATAGAGTAGGGTAGGTAGAGTTGGGTAGGTACTCAAATGACGGGAGCGACGCCGCGGGGAAGAGCTAGTAAAAAATATAGGTACTAACCGTGAACGCCTTTCCACATTCTTGACATACGTGAGTCCGTGGTTTTTCTTTCTTCTGTCCGTGTATCCTCATCATATGCTTGTCTACATTAGCTCGGGACGCTATTGGCTATAAGAAAATACAAAACATAAATAAATACATCATGGTTGTTTTTAATTATAAGTGTGTGAGAGCCTTGCTTCAGCACGAATGGGTCGGCTCGACCGGAGTGATACCACGGCCTCACAGAAAACCGGCTTGAAACAACCACAGCGTTGAGTTTCGCCGTGTGAGTGAGGTTACCGGAGGCCCAATCCTTCACCTACCTTTCACTGATAGATAGCTACAAGGTTTCTGAATGCTATAGGCTATAAATCATCACGCTACGCTTGAATGGAGCCGAGCACCTGGAGAAACCGCGGGAGAGTAGCTAGTTTGTTATATAGCTTTAATTTTAAGAATATTGTTTCTAATATCAGTAGGATAGTAGGATTATGTTATATAAGAATGGATAACCTTTCAATACCTTTAAGTATATCTTATGGCCATTCAAAAAGTAAAAAAAAAAAAAACGAAAATAAAATATTTTATAAAAATCTTGCAAATTAATTTATTATAGACAAATCGTGCAAAATTTATTTTTAAAGCAATGTTTAATCATCGTGGTTAATGGTTATGCAGTAATGTAATGAACGTAAATGTTAAAGGATCATTTTGTATTACCTCTAGCCCAAGTTCTTTTACTTCAAGACATAATAATTTAGGTACTAACTATGATACTTTCCTTTTCGTTGTTTTTCTGAATGGCCAAAGGATATACTAAAAGGCATTTCAAGGTTATCCATTATTTACCAGACACCCTGTAGATGTTAAGTATTTTTTTAAGAATATTGTTTCTTAAATAACTCGTATGTCATACCTTACTACAAATGGGGCACTTGTGTGTAGTTTTGCCAAGATGTTGGTAGTTGAAGTGATCCTGCATCGCTTGCTTCGTTGGGTAGCCCTTCTTGCACATCGGACAGGGGAATCTGTAAATAATGAAATGAAACAGTGAAAAAAGTATCGGGAATCGAGCGATCCAGTGCCCGTCCCAGCGCCAGTGTGACCTTTCAGTGAGCATGACAACTCCAAGCTGTTATAAGGACCGACATTCTGCTTGTCTAACCAATTGTTATGGGTTAAAATATAATTCTATAGGATGATCTATATTCTAATGGGTTAAAATATCTATATGATCTATACTAATATTATAAAGAAGTAAAATTTGTAAGTCTGTATGTAGGGGGTAATCTTTTGAACAGCTGGTCGGATTACCAAAATTCACTGATAGATAGCTACAATGTTCCTGAGTGCTATAGGCTATAAAACATCACGCTACGATCAAATGGGGCTGCGCAGCGGATGAAACCGCGCGAGAGTATCTAGTCATAGATAAACTTACTTGAAAACCTGTTCCGATGCATGAGCTCTGGAGTATTTAAGATGAGCTTGGTACGTTGCAAGGTGGGAGAAGGTCTTATTACACTCGGTGCATTCGTATCGACTTTTATTTTGATGTCTTTGTATGTGGTATTTTAATTGTATAACTCGAACCATTTTGTGGCAGATCGGACATTCCGATCTAGGTAGCGGGCCTTCGTGGAGTCTGAAAGAGAAATTTCGTATTAAAATTCGTTGTGTTTCGCCGTGTGAGTGAGGTTACCGGAGGCCCAATCTCGCCTCTTCCCCTATTCCTTCCAGATCTTTATATCCGCAACCCCTATCCCCAAAACTCCTTTGGTGTTGCGGGTGTCAATGGGCGGCGCCGATTGCTTACCATCAGGTCATCCGTCTGCTCGTTTGCCGACTTATACCATAAAAAATATTTAGAACGGAAAACATACGTAGTATTTGCAACTAACAAAAACCACAACTTATACAACTACATACTAGCTTTTTCCCGCGACTTCGTTCGCGTGGAATAGTGACTTCCAGCAGGTTTTTGGTATAAAAACTGTCCTATGTCCTTTCTCGAGTTCCTAACTATGTCTGTACCAAAATTTCACAGAAATAGGTTCAGTAGTTTAGGCCTGAAGAAAAAACAGACAGACAGACAGAGTTCCTCTAGCATTTATAATATAAGTTTGGATAACCCATATACATGTCTCCGCATTTAATTATCTTTAATTATGGAGAGCATGCTTGAAAGGGAACAAATAATTAAAAAAAAACAACAAAAAAGATTATGGATTATTGTAATTAGCTTTTTAGGTACTTACTTGAGATGTGTCGCCAACGTAGTTCTATTAACGAAACGTTTTTTACAATGGTCACACTGTAACCCTTCTCTATGGAAGCGAGCCACGTGATTCTTGCGAGCTCGGGAGTTTCTGAAACGTAATGATACTTATAAATATATTTTAAGACACAATAGTGAAATTACGAACCGAACAAACACAATTTACTAATAACAAAATTACGAATTATTTAAATAAGCTAGTATGCCCGCGACTTCGTTCGCTTAGAATAGTGACTTGAAAACTATCCTATGTCCTTTCTCGAGTTCCAAACTATGTTGGTACCAAATTCCACAGAAATCGGTTCAGTAGTTTAGGCGTGAAGAAAATACAGACATGCAGACAGACAGGCAGACAGACGGACAGACAGAGTTACTTTCACATTTATAATATTAGTTTGGATTTATAAGTAAAAAGTGAAAAGGTTGCGGATTGTTGTATAGGTGAGTACTATGTTTTGGATCAGAAGTCCCATCTTAGAGTACATATCAAACTATGTATTGGTGCACATCACGTTGCGACATTTTAGAACGTTTCTTTGACTGCACGGTTCACGCGGTGGCTGGCTGTCGCAGCGGGTCGCGGGTTCGATTCCCGCCCGGAACAACTCTTTGTGTGATTTACAAATTGTTGTTCCGGGTCTGGGTGTCTTGTGTACGTGACATTGTATACTAGTACCCTAGTGTTTTCTTTTTTAAATACTAAACCTAAAAACCAAACGTTTCGTTTGATCTTCCAATTCTTTCAACGAATTATAAAGTTTTTCATAATCGTTTCTAACACACTGCTTGTTCTGTTGTCCAGGTGATAAATCAAGCGGTTGTTGGACTGATGTTAAATTGTTAAGATCTATCAATAAGTTAGTCTATACTAATATTATAAAGAGGTAAAATTTGTAAGTTTGTATGTAGGGGGTAATCTTTGGAACCGCTGGTCGGATTGCCAAAATTCTTTCACTGATATTTAGCTACAATGTTCCTGAGTGCTATAGGCTATAAAACATCACGCTACGATCAAATGGAGCCGAGCAGCGGGTGAAACCGCGCGAGAGTAGCTAGTAAATATATAATATAAAAAAACAAACTTACTTAAAGAACATATCACACTCCAGGCACTGGTATCCTTCGATGGACGTCTTGGACAGCAACTTGCGAAGGTCCCCCGGCTTGGGCGGGTCTCTCTGTTCCTTTGTATCTTTATCTTTCTTCTTTTTACCCTGAAATATAAGAATTTTGGTGTATTTGAGTATATTTTTGTTTATGTGTGTAGAATAATGGGATAAGGGAGAATAAAGTGTGGGAGAGCCATGCTTGCGCACGAATGGGTCGGCTCGACCGGAGTTATACCACGGCCTCACAGAAAACCGGCGTGAAATGACCACAGCGTTGTGTTTCGCCGTGTGAGTGAGGTTACCGGAGGCCAAATCCTTCCCCTCCACCAATCCCTCCTTAATCCCTAAATCTCCAAATCCCTTATCCCTAAAAGGTCGGCAATGCACTCGTAACTCCTCCGTTGCGAGTGTCCATGGGCGGCGCTGATTGCTTACCATCAGGTAATCCGTCTGCTCGTTGGTCGAACTATTAAATAAAAATAAAAAAAATAATGATTTCAGACTAGATATTGAAAAGAAAATATCTTTCTACAATATTATAAACTAGAAAGTGTGTAAGTATTTTTTACAGTTTTTTTTTGTCAGTGAAAAATCATCAAATGTCTTCTCCCGGGCAGTGTGGGCTGGGGCGGGAAGATGTGTCTCTTGTCGACCTAAAAACCTCCCTGTTCCTTCTCCTGCTCTGGGCCGAGGTCGCGATGCCTCATTGCGCTTACCCCGCAATCTCGGCTGAACATCAGCCCTATAGGGCCCTGTGGGGCCGGTGCTTAGATAAGCAAGATATTATGAGAAGTGTAATATGAACGCACGGCCGCGGCAGTCCCAGCCAGACCGCGGTATTGTATAATCGTGTGTGAAAATAATAGACATTTACTCAGTAAACATTGTTTAATTTAATATACCGAAAAGAGACCCCTGCAGGCCCCGTCTGTGGTGGTCTATTGGCTCTTTGAGGTGCGGGCGGAACGCTACGCGCACTACGCTCGGGTCTGGTTCTGGTCGGGCGGCGAGCTACCCTTACTCGCCGTCCTCAGACCCGCGCTTACGGTGGCCGGAGATCAGCACTCGTTGTGAGTAGGTACGGGTGGATGTTTTTTATTTGAGAGCCAACACAACAACACCCGTTAGTTTAACTAGTTGTAAACTGAAACATGCGTTTCTCTTTAGAACGGGTCCACTTAACGTGGTGTGGTTCCTTCCTCAAAGGACCACTACAGTTCATTCAACTTGGACGGTTCTCACACATTATATTATTTTTTACATATCGCCTGGATTTTTGAGGCAAAAATCGCTGTTTATCGAATAGGCCATCTATTTGTTTGTAAGTAAAAAAAATATATTTTTTTTAAATGTTGCCCTGCACTATGATTTTCTCCTGTGTCGTGGGTGCGTTTAAAAACATACAATTTCGCAGGGAATGTGCACAAAATACTGTGGAAGCCTTCTGCCCCACCCAGGGACATAGTAACTTAAGTAAGTCAAGTCGTGGGTGCGTTTAAAAACATACAATTTCACATACACAAGACACCCAGACTCGGAACAACAATTTGTGGATGACACAAAGAGTTGTTTCATGCGGGAATCGAAGACACGACACGTTGTACGGTAGCCAGTTGCCCAGCCACCGCGTCAATCGTACATTCAATATTAATAAAAATGTGTTGGGGATTTTTGGGAGGACTGAATTCCAATAAACTTTGTTTACATAAGTACTTATTTTATTTTAATTTAATTTAGAATCGTAATTTTTGCAATTTCTATCTTATTACTCTTCCTACTATTTTAAATTATATTCTTCTTTTATTACTAATTATTTTTTGTGTCACTACGAAATATTTTGTGCATGTTGTGACACCTTAAAATGCTGTACATTTAATTTTATTATAGTGTATTTAATGTTTAGATGTAAGAAATAATGTAACAGCTACTGGTTGTCCATAATTCAAATAATAAATAAATAAATAAATAATCAGTAACACCTACCTTATTCTTCAAATCTCCAATCTTGATAGTGGATAAATTTGTTTGTTTGCTCATATGCGTGTTAACGTGTTGTTGTATGAGCTTAGTACTGGTTTCTTCGTGGGAGCACAGCTTGCAACGATACTTCAGGTAATGAGAATCCGTGTGGGAAGCTATCTTATTCTCATCGACGTACAAATAGCAAATTTTGCAAGCCACTTGCCTTGGTTTCTGGGGAGAGAAAATATTAATAATCTTCTTATATATAAAAATGGATCGCAAAATGTGTTGGTAAGCGCATAACTCAACAACGCCTGGACCAATTTAGCTAATTCTTTTTTTGTTGTGTTTGTTATTGTCAGGAGAAGGTTCTTACGAGAGAAAACTTTAGAAAAGTAGAGGGGAATAGGGACACCAGGATAGTCGGGTACCCGTGCGAAGCGGGGGCGGTCTGCTAGTTAAGTAAGTAATAAAATTAAGTGTGGGAGAGCCATGCTTCGGCACGAATGGGTCGGCTCGACCGGAGTGATACCACGGCCTCACAGAAAACCGGCGTGAAACAACCATAGCGTTGTGTAAGTGAGGTTACCGAGGGCCCAATCCTTCCCCTCCCTTTATCCCCACCCAATTTTCAAAACTCGAGTTCTTTTTAAACGTTGCCCACACTAGGATTTTCTCCTGTGTCGTGGGTGCGTTTACAAACATACGATTTCACATGCACATCACCAGACCCGAAACAACAATTTGTGGATCACACAAACTGTTGTTCCGTGCGGGAATCGAACCCGCGACACGATGCACGGTAGCCATTAGCCCAGCCACAACGAAAAATGACATTGATTTTTATATGCTACTAGCTTTTGTTCGCGACTGCGTTCGCATGGAATAGTGTCTTCCTGCAGATTTTTGCTATAAAACCTATCCTATGTCCTTTCTCGAGTTCCAAACTATGTCTGTACCAAATTTCACAGAAATCGGTTCAGTAGTTTAGGCGTGAAGAAAAGACAGACAGACAGACAGAGTTACTTTCGAATTTATAATATTAAGTTTAGATAGATAAATAAATTAAATGTCGTGGTGGCCCGGAGGTTAAGGAACCCGCTTATCATGCATGAGGGCGTGGGTTCGAAACCTGGCAAGTACCAATGTGACTTTTTCCGAGTTATATGTACTTTCTATGATTATTTAGACACCACTGACATACGGTGAAGGTAAACATCGTGAGGAAACCTGGACTTGTAATTTCTAATTACAAGTTTGAAATCGCCAACCCGCATTGAGCAAGCGTGGTGATCAATGCTCTAACCTTCTCCGTATAAGAAGAGGCCTTTGCTCAGCAGTGCGCACTTATAGGCTGATGATGATAAATAAATAACTCACCGCTCTATGAGCTGATACGAAGTGGTCTTCAACTTGTTGCTGTGTGTAGAATCCAATGATACAGAGCTCACATTTGTACACTGAGCTAGCATACTGAACCTTCTTCTTGGCCTCTTCTCTGTAAAATAAAAATACATAAAATTTATATCTTTCTCATCATTGGTCAATATATATATACATAATTAACCTGCCACCCATCCGCTTCCAATCCTTAAATATCCGTTTAGCTGTTATGAATAGAGTCTGTTCACAAGCTAATTATCCAACTACGTAATATCATAAGTGTGGGAGAGCCATGCTTCGGCACGAATGTGTCGGCTCGAACGGAGTGATACCACGGCCTCACAGAAAACCGGCGTGAAGTAACCACAGCGTTGCGTTTCGCCGTGTGAGTGAGGTTACCGGAGGCCCAATCCTTCCCCTCCCCCAATCCCTCCTCAATCCCTTAATCTCAAAATCCCTAATCCCTAAAAGGTCGGCAACGCACTCGTAACTCCTCCGTCGCGGGTGTCCATGGGCAGCGCTGATTGCTTACATGTTTAATCTGTCTGCTCGCTTGCCGACCTATCACATAAAATAAAAAAATAAATATCAGACCAGAAGGGTGTCAATGAAATAAAACATCCGAAAGCGATCACGGTAAATTGGCGACTGCATACAATTACATGAACTGCGGACGCAGCCGGATCGCTACACAGTTACACATCTTCTTATATATAAAAATGGATCGCAAAATGTGTTGGCAAGCGCATTTATAACTCAACAACGCCTGAACCAATTTTGCTAATTCTTTTTTTGTTGTGTTGTTTATTGTCAGGAGAAGGTTCTTAGAGAAGAAAATATTAGAAAAGTAGTGGGGAAGATTAGGAAAAGTGACCCTTTGATTGCGAGATAGTTGGACCCGTGCGAAGCGGGGGCGGGCCGCTAGTACATACCTAATATAATGTTAGAGGTACAAAGTACAATGTGTGCGTAGCCTACATCCGAAACCTTTATCCCTTAAAGGCCGGAAACGCACTTGTAGTAACTTCTTTGGTATCACGAGGGTCCGTGGGCGGCGCTGATTGCTTATCATCAGGTAATCCGTCTGCTTGTTTATCAACACATTTGATAAAGTGTGGGAGAGCCATGCTTCGGCACGAATGTGTCAAATCGACCGGAGTGATACCACGGCCTCACAGAAAACCGGCGCGAAACAACCACAGAGTTGTGTTTCGCTGTGTGAGTGAGGTTACCGGAGGCCCAAACCCCCTCCCTATCCTCAATCCTTCCTTCATCCCTAAGAACCCACAAGAGATAGTCAACGCACTTGTAGTAACTTCTTTGGTATCACGAGAGTCCGTGGGCGGCGCTGATTGCTTACCATCAGGTAATCTGTCTGTTCGTTTGTCGACCTATTACATAAAAAAGAATATTAGATATATTACCTGCACTTGAGCATATCACTTTCAGTCATATATTCTGTGACATAACCTAGTTTTGGTTCTGTCTTTTCCGTCTTAGGTTTAGTATCGGGTTGAGTAATTATATTTATTGATTCAATCTGAGATTTCGACAAGTTCCTGAAAAAAAAATCATACATTTACACCCGGTTTCTGAAAGGCTTGTCAACGCTAAAATTAACTAATCTCCTGTTTAATCTCTTGTCAAGTCATTGATTTTAACATTGATCGGCCTTTCAGAAACCGGGTGTTAGTATAATACACTAGCTATTATCGCTCGGTGTCACTCGCATAAGAAGAGTAACGATGTATTTTCTTGCTCGTTCTTCTCCATTCGAATCTACAATTTGGAACGAGCACCAAGCTTCACTGACGAACACAATGACAGACTAATAAAAGTATGTACCAAATTATTGTTTAGTTGGAATAAATGATTTCGACTTTGACTTTAAAATGATTTTGACTTTCACTTTGAAATGATTTCGACTTGATGACTTGACTTTGAAATGATTTTGACTTTGGAATAATTTAGACTTTGAAATGATTTTGACTTTACTTTGAAATGATTTCGACTTTGACTTTGGAATGATTTAAACTTTGAATTTGAAATGATTTTGACTTTGAAATGATCTTGACTTTACTTTGAAATGATTTCGACTTTGACCTTGAAATGATTTTGACTTTGAAATGATTTTAACTTTGACTTAGTCAATAGTTATGTGTAAAAAAACAACTTACTCGATGGTGAGATGTGACATCACCCCGTGGCTTGTTCCGGAGTCAAGATCCAAGGAGTCAGGTCCAACCACTATGTGGGACATCACTCCCGTCACCGGATTTTCAAGAACTATCTCCGGAACTGCAAATATATTTTTTTTTAGGATGACTGGTAATTAGTGGTCGAAATTTAAACATTTGTCGAAGAACCGATGAATGTTGGAGTAGATGTGTTCTAGAATGGAGACCAGGTCTAGGCAAACGCCCTCCAGCTAGGTGGACTGAAGATATTCGCAGAGTGGCTGACAGTGGTTGGGTGAGAAGAGCTGAACATCGAGCACAGCGGCGTGCAATTGGGAAGGCCTATGTCCAGCAGTGGCCTGCTTCTCATGCATAAGGGTGTGGCTTCGCAACCTGGCAAGTACCAATGTGACTTTTTCCGATTTATATGTACTCTCTATGACTATCTAGACACCACTGACATACGAAACATCGTGAGTAAACCTGGACTTATCAATTTCTAATTATAAGTTTGAAATCACCAATCTGCCTTGAGCAAGCGTGATGATTAATGCTCTAAACCTTCTCCGTGTGAGAAGAAGCCTTTGAGACAGGGGGCACTTAAAGGCTGATGATGTGTCCAGAAGTGGACGGAATCAGGCTGTTGATGACTATTTTAACATCTGATTGTACTTATGATAACAAACAAGGTTGTTGTTTCATTTTGTTGTTAGCGAGTTAATTGAGTACACACAAAGCAGGTTGGCCCTACCAGCAACCATATTATATAACCTCTCTATTTTGTAAATTTTTCTACTAACCTTCCAAAATATGTTCATCAATGTCCAAAATATTAGTGTCCTGCACATGGCTTACATCAAAATGTTCATTCTTAACGTTCTGTGGCTGTGTTTGTATTATATAACCTTCATCTCCGGTGGAGAAGTCAAAGAAGATCTTGTCATATTCCGTTTTTGTCTCCATCTCGAGACAGGAGAGTGATTGGGACATATATGTGTGGTCCATGCTCTGTAATACATAGACTAGTTAAAACATTTGTTATGGCAATTACGACAAAAGGTATTTATATGGTCAATGAATTTTTTTTTATGTAGTAATTCAGCAAACGGGCCTTCGGATTATCTGATAATGAACAATCAGCGCCGCAAAAACAGAGGAGCTACGAGTGAGTTGCCCACCTTTTAGAAATTAGGGATTTGGGAATTTTGATCAAGAGAAGCTCTTAAGTTTATCATGCAGTGTTGAAAATCTTAAAATTAAAACATAAATATTTATTTTATATGTATACGGCAAAGAAGCAGATGGTGCGCTTGACGATCGATGATCCTTATTGAAATTTTAATAATGTGTACAATACGATAAAATAGGTTGTAAAAATAAATAAATAATATTTTTTGAATGAAGTTCTGAATTTTAAAACAAATTGTTTTTCTTATTGTAAACTTACCTCCTGTGTCCTGCTAAGAGCTAACACTCTGAGATGCTCCTGTGCGCTGTGGACCTGCCACTTGAACTTGTGGAACCTCTTTAGCAGGGCCAGGCACTCCCAACACACTAGTTGTTCCATCTCCGGCATGGGCTCGCTGAACTGAAAAGATAATTATAAAAGTCAAAATCCAACTAAACCATTATAAATAAGTACTTTTGAAACATTAAAAAATAGAATAGTTGTCTTTTAGTTGGTTTATTAGTGAAGCTAGGTGCTTGTTCTAAATTGTAGATTCGAATGGAGAAGAATGAGTAAGGAAGTAAATTGTGAGTATCTCTTTAAAAAATTTAAATTTATTTAACAATTTCACTAATATGCTAGAAATTATATCTAATTACGAGTGAAACAGAATGATCTTTGAGTTCTTTTTTAGTCAGATAAGAAATACTGGCTTCATCAAGATTTTCTTGTCTAATTGGAAAATCAGTAAATTCATTTGTTTTATTTACACAATGTATTTACTGTGTGTACTGTTATTTACCTCAGTCATGAACAAAAATAATTTTCGGAAAAAAATTATGTCTTACAAACAGTTTAAGTTCAATTCCGTTCACAGGACCACAGGATCCCGGACCTTTGGAAGGCATATGAGGGGCCGAAGCCAACTCACAGAGACCCGTTGAACAATTTTAATATAAGTGAAATGGGACATTAGCTGGAAATTATCCCTGTATCCACTGTGAAAGTGCACCCAATGATAATCCCCGGTTGATGCAGGACTATTGCGAAATGTGGTAATATTTGAAAGGGTACGGTTTGCTATGGACTGGTGGATATGATAAAAGTTTAAGTTACTATTATGTTTCTGATAATGGCAGGAAGAGTTGAAGATGGTTAATGAAAGAAGTAACGGGAATATTCAAAATTAAAATAAAATTCCAAATATTTAATTGGTGTTGGGGACTCATACAATTTTGCAGTTTACGTGAATTTTGTATTGGGCATTACAAGGCGTGAAGTAGTTAATTTAATTACACATAATAATAACTATAAATACCTAGGTCATATTTTTAGAAATATTTAAAAATGAAATTTATGTACTAAATAAAAAATGTAAATTGACCCACTGACCAGGATTTGTATTTCAATTTTTGCAAAAAAGAGTAATAGCGGTGTCAAATAACTCCAACAGCATGTACTTAAAAACTTTGTGTGGTTAGTAGCGACACGCCACTAAAACTACTTAGCATAAATATATGCTATAGTTTGACCTTATTATTTACGTAATCATTAATCAAGAGCTAAATTTAAATTAAATAAAAACAAAAACTTACCCTGTCCCCCGCAAAATCGTACATTAACAAACGGAAAATATCCTGCGCCGTATTATTTAAATCAAATAAATCTCGATCACTGCTCAAACAAGTACTGCATAATGCCCTATACCCAGTCTCAACATCCTGCTCCATTTTATTGTAATTCTATAGACTTTTCAATAATAAATTCTCAACTTTTTATTTGTTGTGATTAATTTTCGGTATCAAAACAAAAAGTAATACTCCCATGTAAAATAGACGAAAATTGATGAACAACGTTAAACTGCACTGCGACACCACAAAATGGCTGCCTTACCTAGTGTTGCTATATATAAATATAAATTCCGCCTGCGTCAGCGGCTTAACAGCTGATGTGATTATTTAAAGTTTTGTCATAGAAACTAGGCATAATTTTTCAGAAAAAATATTCATAACCTTGCCCCATCACTAATACTCAAAAGAAGCTTTTTAATTTGTCTCACATCACATGTTTTTCGTGTAAAATATATTTTTGATTTTTTTATTATTTTTTTGTTCCTACATATTTCTTTGATATAGAAATGAGAAGAACATACAAGTATTTACTAAATACACTTAATTTTGGTTGCAATTTTAAGTGATAATCCTGTGTTTACTATTAATATGATTTTTAATATAAATAAGTTAAAAAAATCCGTTTTTTTCTGCCAAGTGGCAATACTTAAATGTCAACGTCAAATTGTCAAGAGACTTTTTGGCGGGAGTTCAAATATAGCGCATGAAAAGTTTTTTTCATTTGTGATTTTTTTTGAATCTAATATTTTATTTCATTGTAAATTGCATGTAAATAGTAAAGTGTACATAATAGTGTATTAAACATGGATGTTGGCGAGGGCGGGGGCCCAAAACCCCCGGCCCCAAAAAAACATAAACTTAAAGACTTGGACGATGGCGGCGGGGTTAAGGAAAGTGATTTTTTACCCTATCTAAAACCCGGATACAAAAGACTTTATCCAGAAAACTCTTCAAATTTGGAGTTCAAAGTTTACGTGCAGGGTGAAAAAATTGGCAATAAAAGTCCAACCTTTTTAAATCATATATTTGTAAATGAGGTAAAAGGTGTAGTAGCGATTCGCAGAATCAATGCTAACAAGATTGCGGTGGTGTTCAAGCAGTATAATACTGCTAATAATTTTCTATGTAACTCTTCATTTCTGGAGAAGTACAACTTTAAGGCGTTCATACCAGCGGCAGACATAGAAAGAACAGGAATTATCCGATACGTACCCACAAACATCTCTAACAAGGAGCTTTACTCAAAGCTAGAGTCGGAGTACGAAATAATTGCAGTGCGACGATTCACCAAGAAGGTTGGACAAGAACGGGTACCACTTAATACAGTGAGCATTACCTTTCTGTCCAGTTCTTTACCACAAAATGTACAATATGACTTATTCTCTTACCGCATTTTTTACTATATCCCTCCTCTACAACAATGTTACCGTTGCTTCAAATTTAACCACTCAGCCAAAATATGTAATGGCAAACAAAAATGTAGCATTTGTGCTGGGGACCACTCATATAGAGAGTGTGATAACCCCTCAGCAATCTGCTGTGCTAATTGCGGTGGACCACATTTAGCAATTTCAAAGGCATGCGAAATCAAGTTAAAAAAGATAATGGAAAAAAAGGAACGTATTACTTACGCTAGTAAGGCTGAAACTAAACTTAATGTGACTCAGGGAGATTTCCCACCATTGCGCAAACCAAGACCTCAGGTCAATGTAAATAAAAATTCTGTTGTAAATAAAAATGTAAATTCTGCACCTATAAATAATGTACCTGTAAATACTGAACCTAAAATAATTTCTGTTGCTGATGTCAAGGCTCAACTCCTGGCAAATAATGACTTACTTAAGGCCATTGTTCGCACACTCATTGTAATCGCCAATAAGGGCAAGGATGATCCTCCAATCAATACAACAACTATTAAAGATATTCTACTGGAGAATCTTACATAATGGATATAGACTCCAATATACAATCTCAGCTATGCATTGCTCAGTTTAATATACAAAGTGTATACAGTAAAAAGCCCTTACTCTTAAAGTTTCTTAATGATAAAAATATTGATATTTGCCTTTTAAATGAAACGTGGATTAAAGATAACAAACCTTTCCACATTCCTGAATATAATATACATTTCAAAAATGCAGCTAATGAACATGGGGGAATAGCTATCCTCATAAAACATAATTTAAAGTATACAACTTTACAAACCACATTTTATGAAGATGTACAAACTGTTGCAATTTCTCTTTCTACAGAGTTAGGTGACTTATCTATTTTGACTGTGTATTGTCCACCACACAGTGGCCATACTAGATTAAACAAATTGAGAAATATCATAAAAGAACTGCCCAAGCCAGTGTTCATTTCAGGAGACTTTAATGCTCATCATATTGCTTTTGGCTGTGTAAGCACCAAGGGCAGAGGGCAGCAACTATATGATATAATTGATGAGTTGGATCTATGCTTGTTGAATGATGGCAGTTTCACAACAAATAATCGGCCTAATTGTAACCCATCAGCTATTGATATCACTTTTACAAGTGCAGTTTTAGCACCACTGTGTGATTGGACTGTACATGATGACAGTATGGGTAGTTATCATTTCCCTACAATTACAAATCTTACTTTAGCTGTTAATAAATATCAAACAAATCCTCCAATAGAGAAATTTTTATACAAAAAAGCAGATTGGGTGAAGTACTGTGAAATATCTGAAACTTTATTTAATGATATCAATGTGGATACTGAGAACCCTTTGAAGTCATATAATACCTTCTGTAATAGACTTAGCTCTTTGAAGTTACTTTGCATCCCAAAGTATACCAAGACTAGTTCATATAGAAGTAGGCCACCAGCGCCATGGTGGAATGAGAAGTGCGAACAAAGCGTCATTAAGTCTTATCAAGCTTTAAAATACTATAGAAGTAATCCTACAATGGATAACTACATTATATATAAGAAGTTAGACGCCTTGAAAAAGAGAACCATATCTGAAGAAAAGAAAAATGGTTGGCGCAATCTCTGTGAGTCTTTTAATAGAAATACTCCTATCAGTAAGATTTGGAACTATATTAAAATGTTTAAGGGTAGGAAAACTCATAATAAATCACTTTCTGATGAATTTGTTTTGCCACTCTTAGATAAACTATCAGATAATGGATCTGATGGTATAGTTGATGTTGATATGTATTTTAATATTAATAATGATAATAATGAGACACAGTTTTTAATTGAACCTTTTACATGGCATGAGTTTAATATGAGTCTTCATTCCCGAAAAAATTCTGCGCCTGGATTGGACAACTTTCCTTATATTTTGATAAAACATTTACATATATTGGTGCAAAAATTGTTTCTGAACATTCTTAATGCACTTTGGCTCCATCAAGTAATTCCACTGACTTGGAAAACACAATGTGTGATACCAGTGCTTAAACCAGATAAACCAGTCAATGATGCTAACTCATATCGACCTATTTCATTATCATCCTGTCTTGGAAAAATTTTTGAGAACATGGTTAAGATTCGTCTTGATTGGTATGTGGAATCGAAGTGCATTATCCCAACTATTCAATTTGGCTTCAGAAGAGGCAGAAGTTGTGCAGACAGCTTTGTTTCTCTTATCTCAGATCTGAAAAGAGCAAGAAATAATAATGCTAGTGCAGTATGTACCTTTTTAGATGTACAGGGGGCATTTGATAATGTGCAACCTGGTATTTTGATTAAAATTCTGTCTGATTTAGGTATTCCAGGAAAATTTTGTAAATGGATATACTCTTTCTTAAATGAAAGAATACTATATGTAAAACACAATAATATTTTACATGGTCCTAGGCAAGTGAGCAATTTCAAAATAAAGTGTACCCTGTTCTAAAATTGGATTTATTTTTTATATGCATATATTTTTTTAATTTTCCATAATATAATAGGAAAATATAGTTTAATATACAGAATAACAAAAAAGAACGCCAAATTCGAGGCATTTTCCTGATAATATCAAAACAAAACGGACTTTGTGGCGGAACTAGTTCCGTTATGTGACCACATTTAAAAGCGAAATTAAAGGAAAATATGTAATTAATAAGCCTTTTTTTATTTAATTGAATTAATAATACATGTATTTAATTGATATATCAAAAAAAAAATAGCCGTAACTTCTAGCATTAATATAAAATTCCTTTTTTAAATTCGATTTTGTGACTATATTGCTTTTTATTTGGTTATTTTTAAACTTTACTCCAAAAGCATAATATTTTATTTCATATTTGGTACCTTTTTAGAATAGGTATTGATTTACTGTAAACATATTTGTAACTGTATAAATTTAAAAGGTAAAAAATCACCTGATTTTGTAGATTTAATCCCCATCAATTTGAAGGGACAATCACAAAATGGAAGTCTTAAAATCATAAGGCTATGAACACACATACTTTGTAAATTGCTTAATAATAAATAAGTATTTATTGATAATTTAAAATTGTTAGCCTTATTTCTCAAATTGGAACTAGTTTTGTGTTTTAAGGAAATAATTACGGAAAAAAATTAAGAATTGGGAAGGTAAGAAATAAAACAATCATTTTAAATATGCTTTTATTTTTGCCTTTTTTAAAAATTATAAGAATAAACCCAATAGTAATTTAGGTAGTAGTAACATCAAGCTACCCCAAACTGTCAAACCCCAATTGGACATAAACATTATTTAATTGTAATAACGCTGAAAAACAAAGTTTGACTGATTGGGCTAGCTTGAAACTAGTCTGTACCTCTTGACATCAATCTCATTAAAATTTTGCAGGATACTGATTTATAGGAACTCCAAAGTTTATAATCACATAACATTTGAGATCAATAGGTATTAAAAAATTAAGGCCATATTTGGTTACTTTGAATAAAGTTATCCAAATAAAGTAATAACAAATTAAAATACGAAAACTTAATATTAGTATTCTTTTTGCGTCAATTACAGAGTATTTATTCATTTATACATTACCACAAAATAAAAAATAAATCCTTATATAACCTAAAGTTTTGATCAGTCTTACTGTTTTTTTTAACTATCATCAAGTTTATATTGTAAATAATAATTATTATAAAACCTACTTAAAAAAATAATATTTTTTTCAGTCGTATTGATTAAGCAAATCTAAAAATGTTCATAATAATAATTTGAATAGTAAAAAATAATCGAATTAATCTCGGATACCAGAGAGCAAGGTTTAAATAAATTCTACAATCTTAACAACAGACGCAAACTAAAACTCCTTAAATACAGTAAACAACTTACATAAAATTTGTTTTATTAAATAAAAATAAATGAAAAGAATAAGATACTAAATCAATTCACTTTACGAGCAAGTGTAAATTAAATAGTTACATAGTATGAACCTATTCGTATTATCCACCTACTTAGTTGTACGCGGATCTTACTAGAATTAAACACTACCCATATGGAAAACAATACTAAATTAAGTTTAGAAAAGCTTACCTAGCGTTTAAACGTCGTCAGCAAACTTCAACCTGTAAATTAAAAATTGAAATTTCACATTACATTATTTCGGTCAGTAGGGATTTATATTATGAACTAAGCTTTATGCATTCCGACCTGTAGTGACTTGACGTTCCGTTAAATGTGACCATAGAATAAGTCACACAACGGAGGTCACATAATGCTACCTTCTTGTAGTTTTAAATTATTTAAAAATTACTCACCTTACTTAGCACTAATAAGTAATTAAGAATCGAATACCTATACAAATTGTGCAATTCGTCAACATTAACAATAATCAAATAAAGCGATATAAAACAGTAAAACTTGGTCACATACCTGAGCAAAGAAATTTAAACAAGGAGCACTTCAACAATGACGTCCGCACATCTCACAGATTAGTTTCACAGTGAAATCAAAACGCGTCTGTCGATAAAGGACGATATATTGTGTTGCCATTTCATGCCAAATATTTTCCATTATAGAATAATTTGTGCTAAAACACGCGGTCACAAGACGGAATTTTCCGGTAAGCTTAAATTTTCGATTTAAATTCATATTTAATTTTAAAATAAAATATGCAAAAAAATATATCTTTGACACCTTTAACTGATAAATACGACTTCTAAGTATTTAAATTGTATAAAGAAATCACTCTCAAAACGGTTTTTTTTTATGAAATCAATCATTATCTGATCTTAGTTGGGAAGGGGACACATAAATTTGATGGTCTTTAATATTTTAAAAGTTTCGTAAGTTTTTTATTTATTTAAGTAACAACAAAACGACATTTTTTATAAATATTTAAATATATTTTCTTCTCACTTAAATTAATATATGCAGTTAAAATTTATTCAATCTCAAAGAAATAAATGAACAAAAGCAAGGGACAAGGCGAAATCCATGGGTACATTTTTTTTTGAAATTGCTCAAGTGTCAAAAGGAACAATGCAAGGGGCAACTTTGTCCCCATTGTTATATAATATATATACATCTCAAATTTGTAAATATGTAAATATGGATAATGTAAATATTTTGCAGTTTGCTGATGACCTTGTTGTATATAGTGTACATAATGATATTGATTTGGCAATTGCTAATATTAATAATGCTCTTAGTCAATTATATCACTACTACAACAATAAACTTCGATTAAATATCAATCCCAACAAAAGTAATGTAATGTTTATAACAAAAGATTTACCTAGCTTGTCTGTGTTATACAATGATAAAGCAATTCCTATAGTAAGCAGTCATAAATTTTTAGGTGTGCAAATTGATAATAAACTGACATTCCAAGGTCATATCAAGTACATTTTACAAAATTCTTTGAAAGGCTTAAATATCATGAGGTGTTTGGCAGGAGTCTCCTGGGGAGCTGACCCAGTTACTCTTGCTATTTTGTACAAAGCCATTGTAAGAAGCCATTTTGATTACAGTTGTCTAGCCTATATTGATTGTAATTATGTACATAGATTAGATATAGCACAAAACAAAGGTCTGAGGATATCTGGCGCCATGTGCTCAACTCCCATCCGTGCCATGGAAGTTGAGACAGGGGTGATGCCCCTTAGTATAAGAAGATATCTACTTGCTCAAAGATTTTCTGTAAAGCTATTTGCAGCTAATAATAACGAAGTTTTAAGAAGAATTTTACCTCAGTATCCAGTAGTTCACAATGTGTCTGGTGTGACTGGGGCTGGCCTTCACTGTCATATTATCCCAGATTTATCTCAGGTTATCCTGGAAGCACATTTTAAATTTTCGAATATAATTAAAAGTTCTCATTGGGCATGTTACTCCACAAAGTACAAGATATTGTTATTTGAAGTCTCAATTATAAATACAGTAGTTAGTAATAATGAGGAGTTATTAAACTTTATTCACCTTAACAGTCACTATTATAGACTTTATACCGATGGCAGTAAGGGTTTGTCTCATGTTCGCAGTGCTGTTTATGATCCTCAAATTCAGTTTTGTCAAAGCTTTGAGCTTAGTCTTTTATGTAGCATATTCACTGCAGAGGCTTATGCAGTTCTTGAGGCCCTGAAAAAAATTTCATCAATGCATTACACAACCTATTTAATTTTGACTGACTCTTTAAGTGTGATTAAAGCATTAGAGAATATTAATTTTCATTTCAAAACAAATTATCTTTTAATTAAGATTCGAGAAGTTTTATTTAATTTAAAAAATAAAGGCATTTCAGTTTCTTTTATGTGGATCCCTTCACATAAAGGTATTACTGGCAATGAAATCGCTGATAGAGCTGCATTTGATGGGATAAATTGTATAAATGTATCTAATATTGTAAAGGTACCTTTTACGGACTGCTATGCACTGATTAGAGAAAACATAAAACATGTATGGAAAGACTTCTGGAAGAAAGACCAAGAAGAAAAAGGAAAGTGGTACGGTACTATTCAATCGGACTTACCTGTGAGACCGTGGTATGACCAAAAGCAATACAAGTACGCCAGACGAGATTTTATATCTACTATATGCAGGCTTCGATTCGGACATCATAGAACACCCGCACACCTTGCAAGACTCAAACTTGATGCAAATGACAAGTGCTTGAATTGTAACGTCTTATGTGACATTAGTCACATAGTGTTGGTATGCAGTGACTACAACATGCAAAGGTTGATTTTAGCCAGTGAACTAAGTGAAATTGTAGATAATGTTTCCTCCCGCCGCCTAGAAGATCTACTACGTGATCCAAAGTGTTTAGTGCCGTTATACAATTTCATTAAAAATACTCTGGAAAGTATATAATAACATAAAACCGAGTAAATTAAAAGACTTGGCTTAAAGGACTCGTATCCAGGCCATAAACTCCAAAAAAAAAAAAAAAGTCAAATTGTCAATAGTAAAGTGCCAGATTTGTGTTTCTTTTGCAAATTATGAAAAAAAAACAGTAAACAACAAGAATTTTTACTTATTATTAATTAAAATCTAAATAATTATGTATGAAGAGGAAGTATTTAAAAATGAATAGTAGCCGTATTTCGTTTTGCCAGGCTTGTTTAAGTTCAGATCGAAGTTTATTTCGAGTCGACGAAGATGAAATTTTCAAAAATATTTTAGAAATGGTAAACAATTAACAGAAATATTGAATTAAAATTATGTATTTGATATTCAGACAATAAATTTACTTCTTTGTTACATACACACACAAACGTAAAATCTTGTGGAAATCAATGAAATACACAAAAATCATATTTTTTTACTTGAAAAAATAAAACTCAGTATTATATTATTTTTCTTACATTGTTTTTGTTGTAAAATTTATTTTTTCTTCACCTTATAAACTAGACACTAAGCCACTATGTCATCTTATTTATTGCTTTCAACAAATAACATCATAAACCAATAAAAAATATTTCATATTTTTGGTCCAATAAACAAATTACAAATGTATGCAATTATCACAATAGCAACCATTTTTTTTTGTTTCTTTTTTTAAAGTTGTGTATTTCAAAAGTGGCAGTGCTTTCCTAAATTAAAAAAAACAACAATCACTAAATATAAGAAACCAAAATAAATATGAATGAACTTTTACAAAATAAAAATTATTTTAAAATTCCTCTTGCAGACATTACCTCCTCCAATCCTCATATGTTGGGAATGCCTGGCCATAGTCAAAAAGATAAAAAGTTTTAAAGCCAAAGTTGAAGAGGCACAGAGAATATTAGCTTATCATTATTCTAATAATCAGGTAATTTAATATTTATTATAACATTCAGGTTAATTCTAGCTTAATATTAAAATAAATAATTATCATAGAAATTCTTTTTCTACTTAATAAAGAAACTTTCTCCATTTGTCGCGCGGTTTCACCCGCTGCTCGGCTCCATTTGATAGTAGCGTGATGTTTTATAGTCTATAGCACTCAGGATCATTGTAGCTATCTATCAGTGAAAGAATTTTGGCAATCCAACCAACAGTTCCAAGGATTACCGCCTACATACAAACTTACAAATTTTACTTCTTTATAATATTAGTATAGATATATAAACTTACAAATATTACCTCTTTATAATATTTAGTAGAGTAGATACAGTAGGTAGATAGATATGCATGTATGTAACAAGCACTTGCCATTGCCATTAGTTATTTAAAATAAATGTATTTGTATTAAAATGTATTGTATAATTTATTTAAAAAAATATTTACAGAAATCTTCACTAAAAACCTTATCAAAATTAACAAAAGCAAACTTAGATCATACAATAAATATTATATATAATGAACAAGATGAAGAAAATAAACAAAAAATTGAAATTAAAATAGAAAACCATTCAGATGAAAATTATAATTATGAACAAAGCAATGATCTTTGCCTCAATCAAGAAATTAAAAAAGAAGAAATCATAGACACACAAACAACAGTTAAAAGAAATAAAAAAACACTCCACTATAGAATTGTCTATGAGCAAAATTCAGAAAAGGATCTGAGGAAAAAGTTTTCTATCAAACCTGAGGAGTTGGGTCTGTGGTTGGATAGAGAAAGAAAAAGCGATTTTTATAAGAATAAGAATTATAAATATAAATGTAAACTTTGTTTTAATGGATATAAAGTTAAGGATAAATTAAAATCTCACATGTTAAAACGACATGATAACGTGAGTATTTTCTTACATTTTTGAAAACAGATTTTAATATTTTTGCTTAGACTTAGCGACACATTGAAAGTACTAGGTTTAATTATTCTTCGTCATCTTTTTACAGACATATTGCCATTAAAAAAAAATAGTGTTACGTGCCTGACGTCACGTTCCTGACTATGCGGGCTTGGGTTACGGGATTGGATGAAATGAAACACTAATACCAGATTTCAGACTTTCTATTGCACTTAAGTTACAGCGTCCACGGAGTTAAGTTATCGGCGTTCCTCTCCAGCAGAGTCCGGCCGACTGACACAACTTTGCCGTTCACGCTGACTTAACTCACTTAACTGACTGCACTTCACTATTTCACTGCACTTCACTATTTCACTCACTTTTCTTCTTTTTCACTTCTTCCTTTTCTTCCGAATCGCTTTAGACTTAGAACTCAACTGCCAGCGGTGAGCCGCAGTTCCGCTTATATACCCCCGGTTCAGGTTCTGGAACATTCAATTTCGTTATTCTTTTTGATCGTCATGACTCCAGAACCTTCCAATAATTTCGTTACTCATTTTTATTTATTCTCCTTCTCGCTCTTTAATTTTTCATTTCTTTCACACAAATAATTCCAGAAAGTTCCACAAAACTTCTATCAACTAAAAAACTACATGTTTACGGCGGGACTCGAACTCGGGGTCTCCGTGGTGTAATCCACACGCCTTACCGATTACACCAACTCGTGTTGACAATTCACGACGAAATTTACAATCTCTAGGCAACGTTTGACAACCATCCATTGACGTCATGATGTCAAAGAGTTTGAACCACTTTTCCGTCACACTGCCCCCCTCTTAAATTCGCTCGTCCCGAGCATCGTTGCTGCCGTAATACCTCGCCAACCTGTCTATATGGACAACTTTCAAAGGGCTCCTTGAAGTCTTCCGAATTCTGTAAGTAATGTCATTGATCTTCGTGACTATCTCATAAGGACCTTCCCAACTCGGTTGCAGCTTCGGAGATTTTCCCTTCCTTCTGACTGGATTATGAAGCCAGACCAATGACCCCTCTTCAAACCCAACAGAATTGGCTCGTCGATCATAGCGCGTCTTTGCGCGATCACTAGCTTGAAAACCGGCCTCCCTGATCTGCTCATAAATGTCCAACATTTTTGCCCTTAACTCGCTTATGTAATCGCTAAACTCGGTGCGAGAGTCGCCAGGTGGACAGCCCGATACAAGATCTGCCGGTAATCTCAATTCCCTTCCAAAATTTGCAAATGCAGGCGTCTTTGCGGTACTTTCATGTACAGCAGTCCGATAGGCAAGCAAGAAGAGAGGTATGTAAGTGTCCCAATCTCTCTGATGGCTGTCAACCACCTTTGCTAAGTGTCGCTCCAATGTTTGGTTGAAGCGTTCGACCATTCCATCTGACTGTGGATGATAAGGGGTCGTTCGAGTCTTATGGATTCCCAAAAGTTTACAAGTTTCCTGAAAAACTTGGGATTCAAAGTTCCGTCCTTGATCACTGTGCATCTCCAAGGGTACTCCAAATCGGGTGAATACTTCGTTTACCAACTTCGTCGCTACAGTTACTGCCTCTTGATTCGGTATGGCAAAGACCTCCGGCCATTTTGTAAAATAGTCCATAACCACTAAAACGTAGCGATTGCCCGAATCAGTGATTGGAAATGGTCCAGCGATGTCTAAGGCTATTCTCTCCCAAGGCATACCAACATTGTAGATTTTCATCGCCCCCCTGCTCCTTGTTTGTGGACCCTTGACAGCTGCACAACTAGTGCATTTCCGGCACCAATCTTCGACGTCATATTTGCAATGCAACCAATAAAACCTCTCCTTGATCTTCACCAAAGTCCTCCTAATTCCCAAATGTCCTCCAGAAGATCCATCATGGAACGCTTTTAATACATCCCTTATTTTTGAACGAGGCACCACCAATTGCAAATGCTCGTCCTTGCCGTTTGTTGATTCCCATTTCCTGCACAGAAGTCCGTTATGCAGCGTAAGGCTTTTCCACTGTGCCCATAAACCTTTCGTTACCGCGCTATATTGGGCGACGTCACTCCAACTTGGCTTGTTACCACTTCGTAGCCACTCCAGTATTGGTTTAATATCTGCATCTCTTTCCTGTTCTAATTTCATCGCATCATTTCCCCATGCCTCGTCAACAGTATCAGTCCTTATCACCTTAAGAAAAGCAGTTTCCTTCTTAGCACAATGTTTGCAATCTTCCACGCATGGGCGTCTCGATAATGCATCTGCGTTGCCATGAATTCTTCCGCCGCGATGTTCGATTTCAAAGTCAAATTCCTGAAGTTGTTCCAGCCATCTGGCTACTTGGCCTTCGGGATCCTTAAACTGAAGCAGCCATTTCAAAGCAGCGTGATCAGTTCTGATCAAAAATTTCCGTCCCAGTAAATACTTCTTGAAATGGTGCAGGGTTTTGACTACGGCCAGCAATTCCCTCCTGGTCACGCAATAATTCCTCTCTGGCTTGGATAGTGACTTGCTGAAGTAAGCAATAACCTTCTCCTGCTCACCATCGCGTTGTGAAAGGACACCTCCTATTCCAATATTGCTGGCATCCGTATCAACTACGAATATTCCTTTCGCGCTGGGATATCCGAGAATTGGTGTGTTACAAAGCCGTTCTTTTAGTTCTCGAAAGGCTTGCTCACAATCCTCGTCCCAAACAAAGGCACGTTTATCCTCTGTCAATCGATGCAATGGCTTGGCAATGTCCGAGAATCCTTTCACAAACCGCCGATAATACGAGCACAATCCAAGAAATGCCCGAACTTGCGTTTTGTCTTTAGGTGTTGGCCATTCCTTGACAGCGACAGTCTTGGCTGGATCAGTCTCAATTCCTCTCTCAGAAATAACATGTCCTAGATAATTCACTTCGCGCTTGAAGAAAGAGCATTTCTTTGGACTCAACTTTAAATTTGCTCCACGCAGCTTGTCGAGTACCTTTTCCAATTTCCTTAGATGATCGTCAAAATCCCGTCCAACAATGATGATGTCATCGAGGTAAACTAGGCAGGTTTCGCCCAGCAGTCCCGCCAGCACCTGTTCCATCAAACGCTCAAAAGTTGCCGGTGCATTGCATAATCCAAATGGCATCACCTTAAATTGCCAGAGTCCCTTCCCAGTTGAGAATGCGGTCTTTTCCTTGTCCTTGGGATCCAAATCCACCTGCCAATAGCCGCTTTTCAGATCGAGCGTTGAAAACCATTTCATGCCACTCAATGTGTCAAGTGTGTCATCGATTCTTGGTAACGGGTAGCTATCCTTCTTGGTTACATCATTCAATCGTCGATAGTCTACGCAAAACCTCGTTGAACCATCTTTCTTCTTGACAAGCACGACAGGTGAACACCAAGGGCTAGAAGAGGGCTCTATCACGTCATTTTTCCTCATATCGTCAATCATTTCTTCAACCTCTTTCTCACGAGCGAATGGTATGCGTCTGGGCCTTTGACGAATTGGCATTGTATCACCTGTGTTTATTTTATGCTTCACCAAACCAGTTTGGCCAATATCACCATCGCTTCTTGTAAACACATCAGAGAATCGAAGAAGTAAATTTCTAGCTTTCATAGTCTCCACTTTTGTCAGACTTTTGTTTTCGTCTAAGATTTTCGTTACAAAGTCTATTCCCGTACTGTCCTTTTTCACAAGATTCTCTGAGCATTTTCTTATCCAGGCCACTTCTTCCAATACGCCCACAGGCTCTCCTTCTTCAATCGTAATTTTTGAATCACTGAAGTTGAATACCGGAATGCGGTTGACATCAGATGACCCCACGACAGTTCTTGCCGGTAGCCATGAGCTTACGTGTTCCGATTTATCAATCACAGCGCACCTTCGAGGTAAACTTCCTTCCTTCCTCCTAGGTAATGCGATTGGTACGAGAGTCTGTGATTTTGGTGCAAGAACAGTTCTTCTTAAACAGCAAACTTTTCCCAGGGTTCCACCCTTCATCGGAATTTCCTCAGTTCCACATAGTAAAACTCCAGATTTTAAGTCGATGTTACACTGGTGCTCTTGCAGGAAGTCAAGTCCCAGGATGCAGTCATCCAGAATTTTGGCCACAATAACCTCATGTCGATAAACACGTTCCCCAATTTTGATTGTTACATGCAGTTTTCCACTTATCGGTATGCACTGGCCGGTAGCTGATTTCATTCGTAGGCCAACAATTGGTTTAAGGTGTTTCCTGATGTTTTGCTCGAGCAGCCGAACATTTATCACCGTCCTTGAAGCTCCAGTATCTAATGTTAGCTGACTGTTTTTCCCATTTACTTGACCGTCTATCACCAGAGTATTTCCATCGTTGGTTTGCTTGATGTAGATTGTTGGGGTTGTTCCACTACCAGCCAGCGCCCACCCCGCAGCCCTGGCTGGATTTAAGTTTCCCTGCTGGTCAGAAGTTGAGACCGCCGCGTCCTGGCGGTTCATCTTCTTCGGGCAGTCGCTCCGTATGTGCCCACGCTCTCCACATCCATAGCACATGAAGTTCCGACGGCGTGGAGATACCTGCTCCGTTGTCGTCATTTCCCGCAGACGTAAGGTACGGGAGTTACCACGCACGGCTTCCACTTCCAATGCATGGGCCAGAGCTTCTTTCATGTTCTTGTGATGGCCCAGATGAACAGCGGCTCGTACTTCGGGGTCCCGAATACCGTCAATGAACGCTTGGAGAAGCGTGCCTTCAATCATTGACGGAGTCGACCGGAAAGCTCGACGCACAAGTTTCTCGATTTCCACGGACCATTGCTGTAGGCCCTCATTAACACGCTGAGTACGCTCTTTTAATTGCGCTCTGTACACGTGCTCGAGGTGGCTGTCTCCAAAACGTGCCTCAAGTGCGTCGAGGAGGGCACTAAAGCTGAGATCCCCACTTGCGCCGATAGCTTCCAGCACTGAGAGCGCTTGATCACGGAGGGCCAGGGTAAGGGCTGACTGTGCTTCCTTCTGAGTCCAACCATAAGCCTCCATAAGTGTCTCAAATTGTAGCTTGAACGCGGTCCAGGATGTTGTTCCGTCGTAATGGGGAATCTTAAGCCCTTTCGTTGCACTTGAAGCCGCATTTGGGGCTTCAAAAACGGCTGCAAGACGGCTTCGGCTCTTCAAAGGGCTTGGGCTTGTCAATTCCTGCTTGATTTTGGAGATCTCTTCTTCCACTCTCTCCTCTATCGCCTTGACGCGATGTTCCAACTTGCCTAACCCTTCCTCCACTTCTTGTACCCGTTCGACAGCCTTTTGCAGTCCCTTCGTGAAATCCTTATGCATGTCTTCCAAGCGACGCGCTTGCTCCTCTTGGCGGCGAGCTTGATCCTCTTTCAGCTCCCGTAGCTGCTCCGCCTGACAGCGTGCATGCTCCTCTTGGCGACGAGCTTGATCTTCTTTCAGCTCCCCTAGCTGTTCTTCTTGGCGGCGCGCTTGCTCTACCATCATTTGCTGCAGCTGTAGCAGTAGATCCACCTGCACAGGCTTGGCTTCTGCATCGCTGGTTTGAGCTGCAGCACTCTCTTCCCTCACACGCTGCGCTTCTGCCATTGCACGGGTACTCACTCCTCTTACGTCCTGCGGCACTAGCGGCATTTTTCTCCAATCCCACTTCTGACACCAAATGTTACGTGCCTGACGTCACGTTCCTGACTATGCGGGCTTGGGTTACGGGATTGGATGAAATGAAACACTAATACCAGATTTCAGACTTTCTATTGCACTTAAGTTACAGCGTCCACGGAGTTAAGTTATCGGCGTTCCTCTCCAGCAGAGTCCGGCCGACTGACACAACTTTGCCGTTCACGCTGACTTAACTCACTTAACTGACTGCACTTCACTATTTCACTGCACTTCACTATTTCACTCACTTTTCTTCTTTTTCACTTCTTCCTTTTCTTCCGAATCGCTTTAGACTTAGAACTCAACTGCCAGCGGTGAGCCGCAGTTCCGCTTATATACCCCCGGTTCAGGTTCTGGAACATTCAATTTCGTTATTCTTTTTGATCGTCATGACTCCAGAACCTTCCAATAATTTCGTTACTCATTTTTATTTATTCTCCTTCTCGCTCTTTAATTTTTCATTTCTTTCACACAAATAATTCCAGAAAGTTCCACAAAACTTCTATCAACTAAAAAACTACATGTTTACGGCGGGACTCGAACTCGGGGTCTCCGTGGTGTAATCCACACGCCTTACCGATTACACCAACTCGTGTTGACAATTCACGACGAAATTTACAATCTCTAGGCAACGTTTGACAACCATCCATTGACGTCATGATGTCAAAGAGTTTGAACCACTTTTCCGTCACAATAGAATTCAATTAATGAGAAAATTTCAAAATAATTGTATAACGATAATAGCACATTTGCCCTACCCGAGAATCGATCCCCAAACTCACCAAGACGCGTAAATGTAAATATAAAATTGAAAAATATTTTTTCGTGATGTGGCAATTGACTAGTCGAATTATATGATGGTAAGCAATCAGCGCCGCCCATGGACAACCGCATCAATAGAGGCGAGTGCGTTGCCGACCTTTTAGGGATTAGGGATTTGGGGACGGGAAGGATTTGGCCTCCGGTAACCTTACTCACACGGCGAAACACAACGCTGTGGTTGTTTCACGCCGCCTCTTTATAATTTTAGTATAGATTATATATTAATATTATATGTTTTTCAGTCTGTAGGCCCATACGAATGTGAAACATGCCACGCCCATTTTGAAAACGAGACCGCACTCAGTAATCATGCGAGGTCTCATAATTTTGCATGGGAATGCATCAAGTGTGGGTACCAATGTTACTCAGTGCGAAGACTCAACTATCATGTAAAATGCCATAGAAGTTATCAATGTGTTTATTGTGATGCTGAATTTCAGTGAGTATGTTTTTTTTATATGAATATTACCTACTACTAGCTTTTACTAACTTCGCTCCCGTCATTTGACTACCTACACTACCTTATTTAGATACTTGCCTACACTATGCATCCTACTCTACCTACCCTACCTACACTACTCAACCTCCCCTACCTAGTTACCTACCAACATTACTGTACCTAGACTACCCTACGTAGTTACCTACGTATAATACCTATCTTACCTACCCTACTCTACCCTATCTCTAGGGTACCCTACCACCCTACCTAGTTACCTACCTATACTACATACCTTACCCTATTCTACCGAGTTACCTACCTACACTACATACCCTACCCTGTTCTATCTAGTTACCCACTTACACTACCTAAATTGATCTACCTACACAACCCTACCTAATTACCTTCGTATAATACCTATCTTACCTAGGGTACTACTACCCTACTTAGTTACCTACCTTTTTTTTTATAATTGATAATTTACAATGTCCACGGACTCGGGGTCCGTGCCCTTGTCAAACAATATAGTTACCTACCTACACTACAGACCTTACCCTATTCTACGTAGTTACCCACCTTTTTTTTGTGAGGGGAAAATTGTCAAATGGCTTCTTACTGACTAGTGGTGGAGTGTCAGACTCTTACTGACTAAAAACCCCCCTGTTCCTTCTCCTGCTCTGGGCCGAGGTCGCGGTGCCTCATTGCTCTTACCCCGCAACCCCGGCTGAACATCAGCCCTATAGGGCCCCGTCTGTGGTGGTCTATTGGCTCTTTGAGGCGCGCGCGGTACGCTACGAGCCGTACGCTCGGGCCTGGTTCTGGTCGGGCGGCGAGATGCCCTTACTCGCCAACCGCAGACCCGTGCAGTTACCCACCTACGCTACCTAAATTACTCTACTACTACCTACCTACTCTGCCTAGCCTCTATATTCTCTAGAAGGAACGGGGTGTTTTTTTAGTCAGTGAGAGTCTGACACTCCCTCTTTTCCCACATACATGAAACCGTAATACGATGATTTTAGTTTAGCTCTTCAAAAATCTGTAGGACTGTATAATATGTTGTATGTAAACAATAAACTAGCGGTCGCCCGCGTGGATGACGATTTTACACCATTCAAGAGTTTTTTTTTAATTGTCTCTACGTAAAAGCCTTTTCTGGACTTCCACGAATAATTCAAGACTAAAATTAGCCATATCGGTAATGGCATTGTCGAATTATAACATTGCAACGAATTGATTGATTGATTTTTATATACCTACATCTTCTATACTAATATTATAAAGAGGTAAAAGGACATGGCCAACTTTTGTATGGGCGTTTGCATAGTTATTGAATTCAATGTACATCAATGATTTTTGGTGTTTACATTCGTGAATATTATTAAATTAAATTGCAATAAATAAAACACATGAAGAACTCGTAATTTTAACAAACAAGACGAAATAGTTTCACTAAACCTTTAGTCAGATTACTGGCCGTAAGCGCACGAAATAAGATTTTGCTTTTAAAAACCATGGCGTTTTAATTATTTATTTATTTATTTATAAAATAAAACAAAACAATATGTATAAAGAATAATGATTTATTTATTAAGGAGAACAAATAAAATAAAACTACGTAATAATTCACTTTCATATTTTTATTATAAAGTGTATTTTATTATGTTTGTGTATGGAATGTACGTTTCTGTAATATATATTCTGTATAATTGGGTAATAATATGGTAGTACTTTCCATTTGAAGCGGCCTGCTTAAAACAGGTGGTAATGGTGGTGGCTCTGGTGGGCTAACCACTTGAATATAAGGGGCTGCTGCATTGTTGTCCGAACCCAATTCCTGCAAGTTTCGTGATAAGTCCTGCACTGTCTGTCTATTTGCCCGCATACAGCACACATGACAAACATAGTTGCTTCTTGAGGTCTGAAAATAAACCCCAGTTAGAATAAACACATGTTTTCAAGTTTTATGTTATTGTACAGTGAGAAGTATTATGTTACAACATGCCTACTTTAAAGAAGTCTATGCAAACATGGAAAATACATAAAGATAGATATTATAATTACACATACCTACTATGAGTACTTTTTTTATAGATTAATATAGATAAATACAAGTACATATATAAAACAATGAATAAAAAACAAAATGCTTACCACATTAATAGTATTTTGTGATATTAGGCCAGCTAGCAATGGAGAGTCCATACTGACATTATGGTGTCTTATTTTTCGAACCGATTTTCCACAACCAAGGCAAGCCATGTTATGCCCCAGTAGTCTCTCATGTTCACCAGCCTCAGTATTCAATAATAAGAAGCGTGGTTGACAAATGAATGTCCCCAGAGAAAACTAAAAAAAGATGCACTATTTAAAATCGCATACCATTATAAAACATAAAAAACAGACTAAGTACTATACTATTCCGACTTCATACCTGGGTTTGAGCTATGGTTAACCAACGTGAAAGTTTTGTTTGATGGTGTGCAGAAAGCGAGGATATAAGACGCCTCTGCAGCCTTTGTACGCCTATTCCGCAGTTGATGCACCTCATCGTAATCCACAAAACAAATCCAAAACGCAAAACAATTACTCCAGTATTCTAAGCAAGATTAACAAAAACACGCTGTCAAAAGTGTCAAACACGTTCCGTTTCGTTTAAGTTTTTTTTTTTTGGTGAATTGGATAAAAATAAAACATAATATTATTATAATATGAGTATATTTTAAAATGCAACTAAAACCAATGAATACAGTTTCGTATGAATAAAATGTTCCCAGTGTTTGTTTTTTTTTTCCATTTGTCGATCATATCACACGTTTTCTACGAGTGTAGTTTAAGACACGTGGTTTGGAATTGGAACGTCTTTTTATTTATCTTTCTCTATGGACTATTATAACGAAACTTGACAAACGATAAGTTGATTTTGTTGCATTACTTTTACATTTTTTTAATAATAATTGTCAGGTCTGGAGAGGCTAAAAACTACGTAATAATTCATATTTCTATTTGTATTTTACAGTGTATTAATTTTGTTCGTGTACGTGGAATGTACTTTTTTGGCCATGTCCTTTGTAAGTTTGTATGTAGGGGGTAATCTTTGGAACCGCTGGTCGGATTGCCAAAATTCTTTCACTGATAGATAGCTACAATGTTCCTGAGTGCTATAGGCTATAAAACATCACGCTACCATCAAATGGAGCTGAGCGGCGGGTGAAACCGCGCGAGATTAGCTAGTATATTATATTTAATAAATAACTCATAATTAATTTTAATTGTTATTATTTCAGAGATGTATCATCGTTTTACGCGCACTACAAGGCTCTACATAGCGTTTTCCTATGCGACCATTGCGGTAAGCGATGTAAAACTAAATATATGCTGGAAAAACATATGAGGTTAGTTTTCATTTGATACTAGCTTCTGCATTTGTTTTCGCCCACGCAGTCCGTTCATAAAAAGCAGCCCGTGTTAATACAGGTTACCTATCTACATACCAAATTTCAACCAAATCGGTCTAGCCGTTTTTGCGTGAAATAATAACAAACATACATCCGTCCATTCTTACAAATTTTCAGATTTATATTATTGGTAGGATAGTAGGATGGCGGCTAACAGCAGACGTATTTCCTGATGGTAAGCAATCGATGCCGCCGATGGATACCCGCAACACCAAAGGCACGTTGACAGACTTTTGGAGATTTAGAAATTGGGGAGGGTAAGGATTGGGACAACTATAGCATTGTGATTTAGGTTCTCCTACCTAAATCACAACGCTATAGTTTTTTTTATGTAATAGGTCGGCAAACGAGCAGACGGATTACCTGATGGTAAGCAATCAGCGCCGCCCATGGACACCCGCAACGGAGGAGTTACGAGTGCGTTGCCGACCGTTTAGGGATTAGGGATTTGGAGATTTAGGGATTGGGAAGGGGAAGGATTGGGCCTCCGGTAACCTCGGTTCACGCCGATTTTCTGTGAGGCCGTGGTATCACTCCGGTCGAGCCGACCCATTCGTGCCGAAGCATGGCTCTCCCACACTTAATTGTTTCACGCCAGCTTTCTGTGAGGTACTCTGGTATACTTAATATAGTATAACTTCTAAACCTGATTGTGACACGTAAATTGATAACGGATCATTCTCGTTAATTTACGAGTATGCTCGACTAGTTTCGGGCCGCACCGGGGCTCATAAAGAAAAATTGCTATACGAAAATTGTTATAATTTTAGTTTTTTCCTCACAGTCGCCATTCGGATAGCCACGTATGTTCAACGTGCTCTCGCAAGTACAAATCTCGCGCCGCCCTCCGCAAACATTACGCGCTGAAGCACAGCACTTGTGCTGCTGAGCAAGCGTACTGCGTTCTATGCGACAAACAGTACGAAAGCGAATACGTATATAGGAGACACGTACATACAAGCGTCGCGCATCGGCGGGAGAGGGATCTACAGTAAGTATATATTTAATCCCTTTTTTTTGTAAGGGGAAAATCCTCATAATTACGATTTCTCCCGCCCAGGATGGGTCGAGAGGGAGTGTCAGTTTCTTGCTCGTTCTTCTCCATAGGAATCTACACTTTGAAACGAACAAATAGCTTCACTAAGAGGACTGACCCGACAGACTGATACTTTTAAGTTTTATTTGATGTTTAGTTGGAATAAAACATTTTGTTTTTATAATAACTATCGTGAGACATACTAAATTAACTAAAATTCGCGGGTTACTCACGTGTAAATGTTGAGAAAAGCTCTACTAGTTTCGAACCACAGAGGGGTTCTTCCTCATGAGCAGCGTGCGCGGACGCGGCGAAACTAGTAGAGCTTTTCTCAACATTTACACGTGAGTAACCCGCGAATTTTAGTTAATAAAAGATTTTGACTTTTGATTAATATTTTTTTTTAACTTCCAACGCAAAAACGACGGGGTGTTATAAGTTTGTGTCTGTCTGTCTGTGGCATCGTAGCTCTCAAACGGATGATACGATTTTGATGCGGTTTTTCTTGTTTGGGAGGTATATCAAGTGGTTTGTTAGGTGTAATAGAAAGAAAGAAAGAAAATGTATTTATTCCGCATCAGACATGAAAGCCAGAACAAAAGAAAAATACAACACAAAAAACAATAAAAAGGTTAAAAAAACAGAAAAACAAAAATACGCTTATTATACAGTATCACATACAGTTCTACAGGGTTGGCAGACATGTCTAAACCGAATAGGAATGTTACACACTCAGTTAACTTGTTTTTTTGCTTATTATAGGTTTTTTAGCATTTTTAAACATAAAAATTACATCCGTCTATTGGGTCGGGGGTATTTTTTTATAAAATTATTTTATTTATATTATTTTTTTTTTCAGGGTAAAGAAGAAATATCCGTGTCCCGAATGCAGTAATATATATTCGAGGCGCGCGTATATGATGAACCATTACCGGCATGTCCATATGAATCAGTCTAAGTATTATTGCGGGACTTGTGAGAGAGTGAGTATTTTACATACATATTATTATACAGTATATATATATATATTTAAATATATATATATACTGTATAATAATATAATATATATAAATATACATAAGTAATAATTATAAATGTGGATGGATGGAGAGGGAGGGGGAGACCAAAGAAAATATGGATGGATTGTGTAAGAAGTGATATGGAAGACAGAGGAGTTAGCGATAGCGTGACGAGTGACAGGACAGTATGGAAGAAAAAAACGCCGACCCCAAATAAAACGGGACAAGGGCAGGAAGATGATGATACATAAGTAATAAGCATAACAAAGTATTGTTGTTGTGTTTATTTAAAACTAGCTTTTGCCCGCGACTCCGTTCGCGTGTTAGTGACTTCCTGCAGATTTTTGATATAAAAACTATCCTATGTCCTTTATTGAGTTTCAAACTATGACTGTACCAAATTCACAGAAATCGGTTGAGTAGTTTATGCGTGAAGAAAAGACAGACAGACAGAGTTACTTTCGCATTTATAATATTAGTATAGATATACATAGATATCCCATTTACATGCACAAAGTGGTTCGTCTTCAGTTTTATAATCAGAGCCGCTAAGGAGTGGAATTCTTTGCCGGAGTCTGTTTCCCGAACGGTATAACCTGGGCGTCTTCAAGGCCCGAGTGAATAGGTTGCTTATGGGTAGACGTGCTCCATCGTAAGTCGCATCATGGCTTACCACCAGGCGTGATAGCGGCCGAAATGCTTTCCAGTAAGAAATAAAAAAAAGTTACGACGAAAAGTTATAGCGAAACTTCTTATTCACTTCATCAGCATATGAATGCCCACTGCTGATCAAAGGCCTCTTCTCACACGGAGAAGATTTGGGCATCAATCAAATCGCTTGCTCAACGCGGATTAAATATTTTAAACTTAAAATTAAAAAGAAAGTCCAGGTTTTCTCACAATCGAGAAATGATCTCCGGCCACCTTAAGCGCGGGTCTGCGGACGACGAGTAAGGGTAGCGGGTAGCTCGCCGCCCGACCAGAACCAGGCCCGAGCGTACGGTGCGTAGCGTTCCGCGCGCGCCTCAAAGAGCCAATAGACCACCACAGACGGGGCCCCATAGGGCTGATGTTCAGCCGGGGTTGCGGGGTAAGAGCACTGAGGCACCGCGACCTCGGCCCAGAGCAGGAGAAGGAACAGGGGGGTTTTTAGTCAGTAAGAGTCTAACACTCCCTCCCGCCCGGCCCTGGGCAGGAGAAGTCATTTGATGATTTTCCCCTCACAAAAAAAAAGGTTTTCTCACAATGTTTTCCTTCACCGTAGAAGTGTGAAAAAGTTACATTGGTACTTGACAAGTCACTCATATATGAGAATGCGGGCGCCATAACCTTCTAAGGCTACCACGGCAATGGCAGATTATAATAATGATTTTGTTCCAGCATTTTCTAAACAGAACGCGGTACATAGACCACATGCGGTACAACCACGAGGGAGTCAAGAAAGAGAAGAATAAGCTCTGTAACATCTGTGGCAGAGGATTTGCGGTAAGTAGTTAGTTAGCAGATGAAAATTGTACGTACTTATTTTATATTATTGTAATAAAAAATAAGTATACTATTATAAAGAGGTAAAATTTGTAAATTTGTATGTAGGGGGTAATCCTTGGAACCGCTGGTCGGATAGCCAAAATTCTTTCACTGATAGATAGCTACAATGTTCCTGAGTGCTATAGGCTATAAAATATCACGCTACGGCTAAATGGAGCCGAGCAGCGGGTAAAACCGCGCGAGGGTAGCTAGTATAAAATAAATGGGTCGGCTCGACTGGAGTGATACCAAGGACTCAGAGAAAGCCAGCGTGAAATAATGACAGCGTTATGTTTCACCGTGGGAGTGAGGTTACATAGGGAGGGATTGGAGGAGGGGAAGGATTGGGCCTTGTTTCGGGCGGGGTAAACTACATACAAACTTACAAATACCTCCTTATAATATTAGTATAGACTTATTGTCTATCCTTTTCAGGCCAACCGCACGCTCCTGAATCACATGCGAACCCATTCGGGCGAAAGGCCTTACGAATGTGAATACTGTTCGTCCAAGTTCACACAAAGGACTTCGATGCTATCACATGTAAAGTATATTCATCTAAAAAGTAAGCGGGGGCAGGAATGGCAACAGTAATGATATACCACTCTTCAAGCAGGTGTGTGATACAAAGTCAAAATCAAAAGTCAAAGTCAAAAGTCAAAGTCAAAAGTCAAAGTCAAAAGTCAAAGTCAAAAGTCAAAGTCAAAAGTCAAAGTCAAAAGTCAAAGTCAAAAGTCAAAGTCAAAAGTCAATGTCAAAAGTCAAAGGTCAAAGTCAAAAGTGAAAGTCAAAGTCAAAGTCAAAAGTCCAAAGTCCAAAGTCAAAAGCCCATAGTCAAAAGTCAAAGTCAAAGTCAAAAGTCAAAGTCAAAGTCAAAAGTCAAAGTCAAAATCAGACCCATACAGGCACTTTTGAACGTCAACACAACTTTAAAGATACAAAGTGTCAGTCTGTCGGTCAGTCCTACAAATAAAATAATCTAAACGATAAGACAGAGTCAGATACTTACACGCTTTATCATTAATCTACTAATCATGCCGTCCGTGTCCGATACCCCCGATCTGATCAATCTGAAACTGAAAGGCAGCGCTTTCTGAAATAAACATTTTTAAATGGCGATCTCCAATCATGGTGTTCTGCCAAGATGTGCAGGTGATGGCTACTCGTATTTCGTCAAAGTCCATAATTCGACATTTTTCTTGGGGCAAGCCTAAAAGACCTTCCATAACCGCTGCAACTCCTGTGCACCAGGATCTGTTAGATATAACCATGAAAACACCGGAACAGTGAAGTCTGGCGCGTCTCAAGGACATGAATGACTGTCTTGGATACCGCAACGAAATAAATCAGAACATATTATTTGAGGAGAAGAAAAAAGTAAATAATTGCCACTTTTTAACCGACTTCCAAAAAGGAGGATGGAAAATAACATTTAATAACAATTTTATAATTTTGAAGTCGGTGCCAAGTAAATACTACATAGGTACCAAACAACAACAGTACCTATTAGAAAAATATATTGATCAGTACCTGCTAATCAACAAACTAGCAAGAGGTTTGTAGGTAATATCATTACACTACTATAGTTTTACTTGGCACCGACTTTAAGATTATAAAATAGTTATTAAATATTAGTTTCTATTTAACTAAATGTAAATATGTATTACTTTGAGCAAAGTAAATTTATTTTTTGCTTTTTAGTTTAGATGCTTTTTGAAGTCGGTTTTGTTTTGTAATCTCGGTAAATTTAATGCAGAAGACAGAATGGATTTTCGATCGTCGTGAGCTGCCCATTGCCACTGCAGTCAGCAGATTTTACGAGCTATAGTCAGGAACTTTGTTTTTCGGCGAATCTCTACATTTCGGATTTTGTCACGCCAAGAAAACCCAAACGTAGCATAAATGTATATACCTAATAATATAAATATACTTATGTAAATAAATGCAAGAAGTTTTATTGAATTATTTTATAGTCATACTAGCTTTTGCCCGCGACTTCGTTCGCGTGGACTTCAGGTTCATCCCGTCTAGTCTAGTAATAAGTAAGAAATACGGTAACTAAGCAGTGCAGAGCCCTATCATAGGTATATAGGTAGCTACTGCAGTATGCTCCTATAAACTATATTTAACGATCTTTTTCCTTCAGCATAAACATGCAGATTCTTCGCTTTGGAAACGTAAGCGCAAAAAATGAGCTTTTTTACGACCTCACATTAGAAACCTCAAAAATTGTAGCCTATGTGTTATTCTGATGTATAAGCTATATTGTGGTAAAGTTTCATTCAAATCCATTCAGTAGTTTTTACGTGAAAGAGTAACAAACATCCATACATCTAAACTTACAAACTTTCGCCTTTATAATATTAGTAGGATAGTAGGATAGCTACCCTGTTTGTTTGTGCATATCTACAAAACTCCTGAACATAATTTAATATAGTTTTCAAAGATGATAGTGCATCAAACGAGCTGACGCAACTACTGATCGTAAGCAATCGGCGCTGCCAATGGCCACTCGCAACACAGGTTAACAAGTTACAAGTGCGTTGCCTTTGGACTGATTTGGGAGAAAGCTTGGGTCTCCAGTAATTATACACGAAACGTTAGCGTTATTTAACGCCGGTATTATGTACTGTAAGGTTGTAATATCACTCCGATCGCGCCGGCCGACATTAGTACCGAAGCATGACTCTCCATCATAGCAACCGATTCAGTTTTCGATGAAATTTTGCATGTAAGGGTTTCGGGGATATAATCGGTCTAGCTGAGTTTCGTTTTCAGAAAAAAACATCCAAAACTTTTGCATACAGGTTTCATTATACATACATTAGCTTCAGCCGGCAGCTTCGACCGACTGATCCAGGGTATCTAACCTACCTACCCTTCTTTCAAACAAAAATGTTTTTGCCAGAAAGAATAACATACATACATTCACATTTATAATATATGTATGAACATATTTATGTAGATAGTCCAATTCACATGGGTAAAAGTTACTTGCAAAATAAAACAATGAAATGCACAATAAAATATAATGTCACGAATAAAATTATATTAGATTACCATTCAATAAATTGTATTTACAATTTAATACACGGTCAAATCTGTGTCTTATCACGAGATCGTGCCAAACCTTACCTTTTACCTATTTGAAAAGGGAAAATCATCCAATGACTTCTTTCGTTCTGGGTGAGGCGAGAGGGAGTGTCAGACTCTTCATCATCATCATCATCATCAGCCTACAAGTGCCCACTGCTGAGCAAAGGCCTCTTCTCACACGGAGAAGGTTTGAGCATTAATCACCACGCTTGCTTAATGCGGGTTGGCGATTTCAAACTTATAATTTGAAATTATAAGTACAGGTTTCCTCACGATGTTTACCTTCGCCGTATGTCAGTGGTGTCTAAATAATCATAAAAGTACATATAACTCGGAAAAAGTCACATTGGTACAGTCCTCAACCTCCGGGCCACCACGACGACCCGGGCCACCACACGACGAGTCAGACTCTTACTGACTAAAAACTCCCCCGTTCCTTCTGCTCCAAGTCAGGGGTATATTATTGAGCTGGCATCGTAACTACAGAAGACAGAACAGAAGAAGAAAAAAACAGAAGATACAAGAGCATTGCTTATTGACGCCAGCAATGCTCTGGTAGGTGAGTAGGCTTTTTGGCCTCCACTAGGTGTCCTCTCATATACGGCTACAACAATGCAAGATCTGTAATCACATTGATTTTTTTTATGAGGTCTTTGTACCGCATCGGTTTCTGGGGCCGTGGTAATACTGAGGTTTCCAATAAGTCTATAAAATCATGCCGGATTTTTCTGAGTCTTGTCGTTGTAATACGCGGTTTTCGTGTAAAACGAAGAATTACGCCGGTTTTTTGTAAGGCCATGTTATCACGCCAGTTTCTGAGGCTGTCATTAAACGCCGGTTTCCAATGGGCCTATCAAATGATGCCGGATGTTTCTAAGGCCTTTTCTCGAGGGCATTATGTCACGCCGTTTTTCTATGAAACCTTGGTATCTTGCCTTTTTCAGTGCGACCATCACATAACGCCGTGGTACCACACCGATTTCCTATGAGACTAGAATATCACGCCAGGTACTGAAACCATGGCATCACGCCTCTTTCATGAGAGTTTTCTCCAAAATACTCCTATTACTTCAATTCCCTGAGATACCATAGTATCAATCCGGTCGAGGCGGCCGATCGTGCCGAATCATGACTCTGCTATTACCAAAGCTGTCTTCAAGTCTGTCGATGAAGAAGCCTAGTATGAGTATAGAGAGCAGCTCTCTGTTTGAAAGTATGGCCACAGTCCTCACACATATAAGATCTCTGTTCAGAGTGAGTTAATCGATGGGAACGGAGTGTTGCTAGCGTCTGCAAAGTCAAAGTCAAAATCAAATCAAATTATTTATGTCAAGACGACCACAAAAGGCACTTTAGGATGTCAAGCAAGCGTGCCAGCCAAACCATAAATAGGTACTTTTGGAACGTTATAATAAAAAGTATAAAAACTAAAACCCAACTACGACAAAAAAATTACGCTAAAAAGGATTAAACAAGATTTTTAAAATACTGAAAGGCGTAGTCACACGTTACATTTACCTACCATACCTGCACTTTGACAACGTGTGACTCCTTTTGCCTTGCCGTACTCGGGTAAAAATAGAGTAATAGTCTTTTAGTCAGTTCGTCGGTGAAGCTGAAGCCTACCTTTCCCAAAGTGAAGATTAGAGATAAGAGGGATTATTTTTATGTTTAAGAGTGGAAAACGAACAGACAGATTATCTGATGGTAAGCAATCGCCGCTCATGGACACCTGCAACACCAGAGGAGTTGCCAGAGCGTTGCTTACATAATGGTGATAAGGGGCTTTGGGTATTGGGTCGCAGGTAGCCTCACTCACACGGTCAAACACAACGCTGTGATTGTTTCACGCCGGTTTTCTGTGAGGCCGTAGTATCACTCCGGTCGAGCCGATCTACATATGTATGTGTGCCGAAGCATGGCTATCCACACTAAAATTACTTTTATGTCTTAAGTAATTATTTAACGTATAAGCAGAAAACGAAACGGAATTCGTTTGAAAATACTTACATAAAATTTCTTGGTACACAAATCGCAAGCGTGGTCTCTTGACCTGGAGAGACCGTGGTGTATCTGTTTGTGATTCTTCAATCTCCAATCTGATATAAATACCTATACACAGAAAGATAACGTTCATTCAATTCATTAATCGATTGAATATATTTGTAGCAATAAAAAAGAGAGAAAGGGGGGGGGGAAGAGAAACAGAGAGAGAGAGGGGAAGATAGACAGATAGAGGAAGAGTGAGAGACACAGAGAAAGAAAGAAAGGGAGAGAGAGAGAGAGAGAGAGATACAGAGCGAGAAAGAGAGGAATAGAGATACAGAAAGAGGGGGTGGGGAGAGGGAGAAGAAGAAAAGGAGGGGATAGAGGGAAGGACTGTTACTGTGTCGTACAACCACATAAAAATGTTACAAAAAAAAACTTCTAAATTACTTTAACATTTATAATATAAAGTATTGTACTTTCTATATATCTACTTCTGGTTATTTGTACTA